TGTGATTATCTGTGTATGTGTGTGTGTGATTACACAGAGGATACAATTCAAGATCCTGGTCCTCACCTTCAAAGCCCTCCATGGTCTTACTCCCCCGGGCTCTGCGGTCTCCTCACCCCCTACCATCCCGCTCACTCCCTCCGCTCAGCGGGCTACGGCCTGCTTCACGTCCCCCACCTCTGTGTGTGTGTATGTACGATTGTCTGCGTGTGTGATTGTCTGTGTGTGTGATTGTCTGTGTGTGTGATTGTCTGTGTGTGTATGATTATCTGTCTGTGATTGTGTTTGTATGATTGTCTGTGTGTGATTGTCTGTGTGTGATCATGTTTGTATGATTGTCTGTGTGTGATTGTGTGTGTGTGTGTGTGTGTATGATTGTAATAATAATAATCCTTGCATTTGATATAGTGTTTTTCCCGTCTTCTCGACATCTCAAAGCGCTTCACAGAATAGACTGTAAAGTGAATTGACTGTATATTTGTGGGCGAAACGCGACAGACAATTGCGCACAGCAATGTCCCCGCAAACAGTCGTGGATTGAAGTGACCAATTTTTTTTTTTTTTTCTTGAGGGATTATTATTATTAGGCGTGTGGAGTAAGGAAACTTGCCCAAGGTTTCGCCCTGACCTGCCGGGAATCACACCCAGGTCTCTCGCTTGTGAGGCGAGTGCTCTAACCACTGAGCTACAGGACTCCAGGTCTGTGTGTGTATAATTGTCTCTGTGTGTACGATTGTGTGTGTGTGATTACACAGAGGATACAGTCCAAGATCCTGGTCCTCACCTTCAAAGCCCTCCACGGTCTTGCTCCCCCCGAGCTCTGGGACCTCCTAACCCCCCACCATCCTGCTCGATCCCTCCGCTCAGTGGGCCCAGCTCAGGTCCGAAACTCTGTTTGTCCAGCGCCTTGGGACGTTCTCCTGACATGAAAGGCGCTATAAATGTAATTTTTGTGTTGTTGTTGATTGTGTGTATCTGTGATTGTTTCACTCTGGAACTCATTCCCACGATCCCTTTGCCTCGCTTCCTCCCTCGCCTCCTTCAAGGCCAGTCTCAAGACCCTTCTCTTCTACCGTGGCTTTGGTCGCCCTCCCACCTCTCTGCCTTTTCTCACCCCTACACCATCCCTCCCCAATGATCGGGTCCCGACCCCTGACTGTTCAGCGCTTTGGGACATCCTCCAGATGTAAAAGGCGCTCTATGTGAAGATCTCGGGTTCATGTGAATGACAATGTTTAACCCACTTTCTCCACAGAGTTGTGTAACTTATTGATCGTCAAATACTGTACTTGAATAGAAGTTTTATACTGCATACATAAATATCTTCCTATTAAGCAATTCAGGTTAAGGATGAGCCAGGTTCCGGCCTTTTCGTTAAATGGCAGAATTTCGAGGAATTTTAAAATTTAGAATTGTTGTGGTTAAGTTTTTTTAGTCTATAACCCGTGAACTGTAATTAACAGTGAGTAATAAATCAATGAGACTTGCGTGCGTCTGACTAGGAGTTTAGCAAATTAGGATGTTGGCCTGCAATGGGTGCTGAGGAAGTGAATAATTAAGGTTACCAATTGTCACACTGCCATATCCATGGCAAAATAACACAACGGCAACGCAGATGGTTATTTGAGAAGTCTCCTGTTACCAGTGTAAATGTGTTATGCCGTCATGTGGCAGGTCGGCAGTTTTAGTCATGTAATGGGAGAAAAAACAGCATTTCACACGAGTTGCTTTTGTCTTGAACACGATTGTATGACAAGGGGTATTTTACTGGGGGAAAAAAACTGTCTTTTACTGTTACTTATGTGTGATTGTAAAAGAAAGGGTTGGTTGTTTTGCTGGCCTGTAATTTCTACAGAGTAGCTGGGATTTAACAGATAAAATCATTTCCTTCCTCCCAATAATGAGAATAATAATTAGATTAAAGTACAGCTCATGGCTGTTGCACATTTCTTCCCATCCATCCTGCTTTTCCCCTTTCAACGTACAGCATTTCATTGTTGGTTGAATTTACTTAAGCAACTTTGTCTTGCGCGCTGTTTGTTATTGTGGTATTCCAGATGCGGTATCATGAGAGCTCAGGTAATCGTTTAATTCTATTGAGTTTGGAAACGTATGCAATCAATATGGCTCGGAGTGTTCCGTGGTGTGGGACGCAGTGAAGCTAGTGGAATATGTCGAGTTCTTCATCGGTAGTCATATGTCCCGACCCCCTCCCCCAGCTCCCCACCTCTCCCCCTTTGCTTGGCAAACCCTGACCTCCTGCGCATCCCCTTCAGCAAATTTGCCCCATTCTCTGGAACTACTTCTGTCTCACACAGTGTCTTTAAATGCTACCTAAGCGGGTGTCCAGCATTGTTAAACTGTTTGAGACATCCTCCTGATGTGAAGAGCGCTGTATAAATATAAATTGTATTGTAAGAACCTGCCTCTTCAACTGTGCTCATGGCCATCTTCATGGCCTCACTTTGCTTGGCTCTGACCCTGCCACTGTGAAGCACCCTGAGACCTTATCCTGCGCAAAGGGCCCTGTATAAATGTAAGTTGATTTTACCTTTGTGTTGGTGGTTATCACATGAAGGGGGGACGGGGATAGTACACCAGTCACAGTGGATATTGTCACGTGTTATGTGGCTGATGGAACAGGAAATTGACTTGTTAGTGTGATACTGGGAACTTGCATTCTGTAAACTGTCTGGTTCGGCCGGCAGAGTGAGCGAGGGCTGTTAAAACCAGGCCAGACTGAAAGGAAATAAAACACTGCTGGAGAGAACAGTGCATGCGACACTCCAGTTAGCAGACCGGCCGAGGAAAATGAAAATTGCCAGACACAAGTGGGTGCACAACCAACTTTTGGAACTGTTACCATAGAAATTTAAATCAAATACCGTTCTGAGCTTAACATGTATTTATTGGTGAGATTTTGCTGGCAATCCTACTGTCTTCTGCCTCTCTCCCCTTTCAACCTCCTCCAACCCTTCTCTCCCCCCATTTCAATCATGATGGGTTTCCAGGCAGCGTCTCTCTGGTTACCCGGTACACTACAGATCATTGAAGATTATTATACTCAGAACAGATGCAGATTCAGGAAAGCCCCAGTGACAATGTTGTACACATCTTCTTTAAACGCCTTGTTTTAGTTATTTTCCCCCTCCTCCCCCCAGTGTACAAATTAGTGGTTGTGGGATTGGGGCTCTGATAACAATGGGGTTTTCTTGTTATCTAACAAAATAATTGTCGCTGTGCACACAGTTTGTGATGTCTTAGAAAGATAAACCACATCAGGCAGATAGGAAGCGTGTGTGACTGTACTTTTCAGGCACTGGGAATGTGGTGCAATGTGCGTATGGTTGCTGGAGAGTCCTGTTGCTAACTTGCTATAATCCTGCTTGATCTGCTTTTTATTTCAAACATCCAGCCTTTTATTGCAGCACGCTACACTTATAGATCGTTTGACCTTTTGCTTTGGCCTATGATTTCTTCCCCCCAATAAAATAAATCGGAGGAAGAGAAAGCAAACAATTTGGAAAGTTTATTTAATCACCCGGTTCAACGTCTCTCCTCTCCTGAGAAGCACTTGTCTGTGGCTTTCCTGAACACCTGTTTATACATGAGCCTAGACAGTATGGTAAAGGGCTTGGTGTCACAGCTAAGCCCAGTGTTGCCACACAACGTTTTATTGGGAGGAATGAGGAACAGAATCCTGACTCTTTTTTCTCTCGTAGCCCAGGGTGCTGAAACCAAATGTGCTGCTCCAGCCTGTTCCTGCCCTCCCTGAGATCAGCCAACCCGACCCAGACTAGGCTCCAACCTTAGCCCTTCCTGCTTGACCGTGGCTCAGGGAATTTGGAGTTTCGAGTAGCATTGAGAGTCACCATTGGCGTCTTCCCCCTCATTCACCCCCTCACTCCCCCACCCCCAGAAAAATTAAATATTAGAGTGTCTGCAATAAAGATTTCATATTGTGACCGAAATTGACACTTGTTTTTGTTATTACAGAAGAAATCATTAACACTCTGTTTTCAGCAAACATCACTTTCTGTTGCTTGCAATGATGGCTCAATTCTGAGTCATTAGGTATTACATGGGATGACTTTGGAAAAAAATTGCGATCCAGAGATGCTCTTCTGTCTTTCCCCCTCCTTCTCTCTCCGCCAATTTTTCTCACTGGTGTTTCTTTCCCTTATTGCTCCTCTGCTGAAGGTGGCGGTGACCAGTGCTGGAGTACAGTTCCATGGGCACTGGAAACCCTCTCGTACCTCGCCCAAGTGGACAGTAAGTATCAGTGGGTGACTCAACTGTGTGTGTGTGTGAGGGGGGACGCATGCTCATCACAGCTCCACTGTTCTCATCCAGTGTTCACAAACCATGTTGAGGGAGCAGGGTATTGGGATTGATGCTGCTAAGTGGGAATTGATAGAGCAAAACCATTGTTTTTATATATATCTATATATATAGATAGATAGATATATAAAAACAATGGTTTTGTTCTATCTATACACATATATATAAATATATATTATACCTCCTCTGTAGCCCAGGGGCAATATTTGTACCTCCCACCACGGTTGGTTGACTCAACAAGGACCAGCATTTGAATCTGGGAAACCCTTCGTCAATGGGGAATAGGTCATTGTCGCACAAAGACAAACTTGTCAATGGTGAGAGATTTTGCACTAGTCATTGGAAAAAACATTGGTCATCTCGCTGGGTCCAATAAATTGGTTGTAATTCATCTAGATAGCAATTCTTTATTGTAATTGAAAAGCATTCTTCCTTTTCTTCTCTTTTCCCCCACCTTTATTTTTCCAAATTAACCTCCTTTTTTGCCAATGTATTACTCTGGGTCTGACTGTTTCTCTCATTTCCCTCTTGATTCCTCAATGCCAGACAAGTCCTCACTCGCTGTGGCATTTGTGAGTTATACTCCCTGGTATCCCTTGGATTATTTGGCATAAACTGGTGAATCTGTCTGATACTCGTGTCCTGAAATTGAGGGGAACAAATAGTCTATTTCTTCCAAAATATATTTGTTGGAGAAAGGAGAGAAATTGCATTTAAAAGCAGGTTAGAAGCTGTGTTTTATATTTTCTCTGAGACCGAGCACTTGCCTGTCTATCTACCCCGATCCTAATGTACATGTCAGTGCATGCAGTTACCATTGGGACTTTTAAAACATTTATGCTGATTCATAGCTCCCTGCTGGTCCTAAATTACACAGTGCACCATGTAATATGTCACTCCTGGGGGATGTGACCTAATCGTTACAAATGAATTAGGAGCTCAATGGGAAAAGACTGCCATTTGTGTCCCTATGTTCTCAGGGGAAGGGAAAGGTAGGGAGGCAGGAGAACAGTTGAACACACTGTGCCAATGTGGTGAAGTCAGAAGATAGCTGCGTGTGGATGGCCTTTACATAAATATATTGAGTAGAGGGTCTGACAAAGGGGATTCAAGACAGCAGTGGAACTTCAGGTGGAAGAAGGTTAACTGATGCCTCCGCTGCCTGTTTTGCGTTTACACAATGCTCTCAGTAACTGAGCAATAGCTGACACAATGGCTTCCGCTCTTTGTCTGTTTTATGTTGGTTGAGTGTGACATTCCCTTGGCTGATTGGATCTCTGTCTCCAGGTTCCCACTCACCTTGTCCCCTTTCCCATGGAGTTAGAGAGTACAGAAAATATCTTGTGTTGAAAGATGCAGTTTTATGAAGTTGGAGAAGGGCACGATTAACACGAAAGGTTTTTAAAGTAAAAGAATGATTTTTGTTGTTGCTCTTCCACACTTGCCACTATGACATTGTTTCGAATTCAAGATCCTCACCCTCACCTACAAGGCCATTCATGGCCTCGCTCCCTCATACCTCTCCGACCTACTATCCCCCTACCTACCTGCCCGTACCCTCCGTTCCTCTGGCTCCGGTCTGCTCCACATCCCCCGCCCCAACCGCCCTACCATCGGTGGCCGGGCCTTCAGCCTCTCAGCCCCGAGGCTCTGGAACTCCATCCCCCAGTGCCTTCGCCGCTTCCTCCCTTTCCTCCTTCAAGGCCGGTCTCAAGACCTTTCTCTTTGACTGTGCCTTCAGCTCCCCTCTCGACTCTCTACCCCCTCCTCGCTCCCTCCCTTCCCTTCCCTCACCTTGACCATTCTCCCCCCACTGCTCGGGTCCTGACCTAACTGTACAGCGCCTTGGGACATCCTCCCGACATGAAAGGCGCTCAATAAATGGAATCGTGTTGTTGTTGTTGTTGTTAGTCTTCTACAACAACAACAACAAAATTACATTTGTATAGCGCCTTTCACGTCGGGAGGACATCCCAAGGCGCTGGACAGACAGTTAGGGACCCGAGCTGAGGGTCGGGGAGGGCAGGGGGGGAAGCAGGTAGATCGATAGCACGGTCAAAAGCAGGGTCTTTTCTACCGGAGAGAGTACATCTTATATGGTCTTGGTGTGAAACGGTGGCATTTCTTGGACACTCTGCTTGTGCAGTTACTTCTTGAAAATCTGGATCAGTTATAATTGTACAACTAATCCGGATGGTGACATTAATCTATCTGTCTGTGTAAAGACGGCTGAGAATGGGTGAAAGTTTCATTTTGTCCTGAGTCTTAGACCATTCTCGAGTGCCTTTTGTACCGAAAAAAAGCAGGTGGTCATGCTGTGTCCTCTGTGGAGAGTTTACTAGCAACACGTAACTGAGAGAGGTGAGGTGACTAAATGATGGGTCAGTTTATGGCTATGTGCCTCATTTGGCTTAGAGATGTGCTTTAATGAGGAGTGTACGAGACAGCTTGCGATCGACTAGAGATTGTAGCACAGTTTTATTTGTTCGGTGCGGGGAGAACTTTTTATTTCTAAAACTAACCTCTAATAAAATAACGACCTGATTAGTTCCCTCTGTACCTGTTCAGGTGGACGTTAAAGATCCTCATTTGGCTTAGAAAGGTTTTTTTTCAGACAGGGAAGAGAGTTTCTCTCTGTGTCCTGGCCAGCAATTACCCCCAGACAAAAGTGGTCACTTACTTCATGGCTATTTGTGGGACATTGTGGTGCATAAATTGGCTGCCGTGTTCATTCATTACAATTCACAGTAATTCTCGTTAAATGCTTTGAGACAGCTCGACAGCATGATAAAGCGCCATAATTGTGGAGTCCTGTAACTCACTGGTTAGGGCACTCGCCTCGCAAGCAAGAGACCTGGATTCGATTCCTGGGAGGGCAAAATGTTGGGCAAGTTTCCTTACTCCACAGGCCTCTGTTTACCTCGCAGTCAGTAGGAATCCGGTTGTTAGTCGATTGGCGGATCACTTTTCCGAGTGTAATAATTCCTTTATATAAAAAAATAATTTGGTCACTAAATCCACGACTATTTGTGGGACGCTACTGTGCACAATTAGCTGCTACATTTCACCCACAAAATATACAGTCAATTCACTTTACAGTATATCCTGTGAAGCGCTTTGAGACGTCTTGAAACTGTGATAAGGCGCTATATCAAATGCAAGGATTATTATTGTTATACCGCATTCTTATTAACCCTTACTTGCCTGGGTGATGCTGATACATGGATTAGGGATGACCCATGAATCCTGCACTAATATTTACTGTTTACCCTGGGGGAGCATTGGCTGACAACTGTAGGCACTTTTACTTGGGATGTTGGAAAAATGAACTTTTTTTCCCCCATTAATATGGTATCTTGCCTTATTGTGTGTGCTGTCATTTTCTTGTCCTGGCTGGACAAGCATCGGGAAGCTTTCCAGTCAGCCTTACTAGTGGGCAAGTGGTGTGATTTTAGCTGGTTTAAGCTCCAGCAGTTACCCCAGTGCACACTCAGGGGTTCCTTCAGCTTTCGCTCTCACCAACCAGCACCTAATATTCTCCAGAGCTAGATACGTGGGGTGCATCGCTCCGGTAGAAGAGAGAGAGAGAGAGAGTGCGCATTCAATTCTAGGTGCAGAGAAATTTCCACGTATAGAAGACGTACATATGTGGAACTCCGGTTTGGATAATCTTAAGCAGGGTAATGGGTTTCCACTTGTGTCCGACACCTGGCTGACCAAAACAAGGCTGTAGCTTGATCGACTCATATGAGAGGGCTGATCAGTGAATTGTTTGTGACTGCTGTCCCAATGCCAATGTTGAGGGATTTGGCAAATGGACTGCACAATTGCTTATTGCTGGATTTTGATCCTTGTAGTAATATTTGTTTTCAAGGTGTAGTGCAGAGTAAGTGTTCGAGACAGATTGTATGGTAATGAGGTCTCGGTGTGTCTGTGTCTATGTGCGTGTGAACACATGTGACTGATCAAAGTTGTGTAAGTAGCATTTGGGAACGATCGCAAGGCAGTAATAATTGGTTGAGGGGTTCACATGACATGCACTGCTTGAACAAATTGGAAATAGTGTATAATTAATTTGAATCCTGTCACAAATGCGGTCACATCGACAATGAGGGATTAATAATTTGTGCATGCTGATTGAAACCATGTGGTTGGCTATTCGGTCAGCAGAGCACGGTCCGAGGCGTTTTTATCTTGTTGGTGAGGAATTTGTTCTGTGGTTAGCAGCCCATCCACCAGCGTACAGTGTCCAACCAGAACACCTTCCTTTTGGAACCTCTGCCAGACAAGCCAAACCCAAAGTCGCTGCGGACACGCTAAACTGCAGGAGCCGTTCTTCAGATGAGACGTTAAACCGAATTTCTCTCTGTGCCTGTTCTGGTGGACGTTAAGGATCTTGCGACGCAATTTGAAAAGAGAAGCGAGTTTCTCTCCCCCAGTGTCTTGGCCAACAATCACTCAGATTTTTTAAAAATTGGTCATTCAGTCAATGGCTGTGTGTGGGACGTTGCTGTCACGTTTACCTACAAAATGCACAATTTGAGTGAGTGCTGTAAAGTGCTTTGAGACGTCTTTTTGACTTGAAAGACACAGTACTAAGCGCCAGGATTGTGGAAGAGCACTTGCCTTCCAAGCGAGTTACCTGGGTTCAATTCCCGGCAGGGCAAAACCTTGGGCAAGTTTCTTTATTCCACACAGAGCCTAATAATAATCCCTAGAAAACAAAAACAATAATAAATTGGTCATTTTCAATCCACGACTATTTGTGGGACATTGCTGTGCTCAATTGGCTGCCGCGTTCGCCCACAAATATACAGTCAATTCACTTTACAGTCTATTCTGTGAAGCGCTTTGAGAGGTCGAGAAGACGTGAAAAGCGCTATATCAAATTCAAGGATTATTGTTATTATAAGTAACCTATTTGTGTTGTT